CCCCAAGACATAATTACATGTCCTCCCAGGGGAGACAGCTGATATCATTCCATCAGGTCCCAGTCAGGCCGAGACGCCCCCCAGAGAGAGCTTTACAGATATCATTCCATCCGGCCTCAGTTTTCCGAGACACTCTCTCGACTAATGGGTCAGAGGCTAATGCAGGGGGGGTGGTCTAAGAATCGGCTGTAAGGCGACAAAAGAGGACACAAACTTAGAAGGAAAAAAGTGAGAGAGAGGAGCTAATATAGGAAAATAAATGTTGATAAAATTATAAAAACTAGAAAACAAATGGATGCGTGCCTACAAGAGGAGTGCCTAAAAAGCCTGCTTTGTCTATCTGTGGAAGTGCTGAAGACTCCATGACCTGGAAGCAGCGCTAAAGAGATGTCTGCCAGAAGGTGGTGTATAAATACCTCAGCTCCCTTGACCTTTGGGGGAATACCTGTGAAGTGTGTTCTTTACTGGCCTCTAAAGTTTAATCAGTATTAAATGCCACAGTAATAAGTACCAGCAGTGCCAAGCTCCAGCATTATTAAGTATTAGCAGTATTAAGCTTCAGCAGTGTTAAGTATCAGCAGTATTAAGCTCCAGAAATAAGCTCCAGCAACATTAAGCTACTGAAGCTACTGCAGTGTTAAGTACTAGTAGTATTAAACTCCTGCAATATTAAGCTTCTACAGTATTAAATTCTAGCAGTATTAAGCTTCATCAGTATTAAGCTCTTGCAATATTAAATGTTAGCAGCATTAAGCTCCTGCAGTATGAAGTACTAGCAGTATTAAGCTCCAGCAGTGTGAAGTACTAGCACTATTAGGGTTCAACAGCATTAAGTACTAGCAGTATTAAGCTCCAGCAGTATTAAGTTCTAGCAGTATTAAGCTTCAGCAATATTAACATACAGCAGTATTAAGTACTAGCAGTATTAAGCTTCATCAGTATTAAGCTCTTGCAATATTAAATACTAGCAGCATTAAGTTCCAGCAGTGTGAAGTACTTAGCAGTATTAAGCTCCAGCAGCATGAAGTCCTAGCAGTATTAAGCTCTATTTGCCCACAGCAGAATCTGGCTTCAGAACTTCTATATCCCCAGTGAAGTGTTTCCTTCACTTCCC